ACCTTCACTATTTTGTTTAAAATGACAAAAGTTTTTAACTAATAATGTTGTTTTTTTTTGTATCACAAATACATTTTTTTTAATTACGTTTCTCTGAAATTTCTCCGTAGATGGAAATGAGGAAGATGTTGACCGATTCCATCCAGGTGGAGTTTCAGAAGCTGAAAGCCCAAGCAGAGGCCCTCCACAGACAGACGATGAGCAGATCCTGAGTCCTGGTCCTGGTCTTGGTCCTGTTCCTGCGTACGTGCCTCAACCACCAGGACTGACTCACCTTCAAACTCAGGATAAAACCTTGGAACAAACTAGTGATTTGGTGTTTGCTCAAACATCATGTTCGAGTTTGAGTTTAATTCTAAAACAAACTGATGGACAAAAATCATCTTTTTTTATTTTGGATGCAACAGAAGCTTTTTGCAGTTCGGCTATCAGTTAAATGTAGAAGGAGTTTTAATCTTATTTATAAATGTAGTTGCTGTGATGATTGAATGCAGCTAAAAGTGGACAAACAGATGACTGATTATTATGAGTGTGTCCCTGTGATGGACTGGAGACCTGTCCAGGGTGTCCCCGCCCCTCTCACTGACTGCTGGATATGGGCTCCAGTGAAGCTGAAAGGAAGAAGTGGGTATGGAGGATGGATGGACTGACTGATTGATTGATTGATTGATTGATTGATTGATTGATTGATTTTAGAGGCTACAGCTTCCAAATATATCTACAAAAAACTAGGAAGCTTTGAAATTTGAACACATTTAGATGAGTCAGTGATTCAGTTTTAGGTTCAGTCAGGACTGATGGTCGGCCCTATGCAGGGGTAGATTCACACGAGATTGAGACGCCCAAGACAAAAGTGACTGTTATGAAACTATTTTGCACAAATGTTTGAACATGTTCAGAGCTCAGGACTGAAGTCACTGAAGTTACTGGACCTCGAGGTGTTCTGGAGACTCCCTCCTCACCGCTAGCTTCACACCACTTGTAACAGATATGATGTAGGAGAAMTAACGGAGCATTAGTGACTTCACAGATGTCAGAGGAAAGACTATCCTGTCCTGTAAGAATCCTGCACAGTTCCTGACAATCTGCACTAGTTTACTGTAAACGTAACATCAGGGCTGTTGGAAGTTAACACTGCTCAGATTGCTGTTCTAAAAAACTCTTTTTTTTTTTTTGCACATTTTAAAGCACGCATGAAACAAACGTTTTGATTGGATGGAGAAATGCCACCACGGTTATCATTCCTGCCGAAACCTGAAGTGAGGGGGAGTGTGGTTTGAAAGAGCGAGGTCATGATGGTGAGTTGTAATGTCCATGAGTGGTTTCTGAAACCAGTGGACAACCAGTGGACAACCAGTGGACAAAATCCCTGAAGTGTGCCGCGGGTCCCAGAGAACGTCATTGTGAAGCGACGTGCGAGGGGGGGCCACCGTGTTGGGG